ACCAAAAAGACCCAGGTGGTAGTGTACACCACTGGCGGGGCTGCTGCCACGGAAGGAGCGGTCGCTACGGGGCATGAGGTGGAACCGTCCCCACCTTCAGATACCTCGGCGTGCACCTGCACTGCCGGCAGGCCTTTGCCTCGGCGGCATCGTATCGGGCGGAGGCTGGGCGGCGCGCGATGCACCTGCTGCGTCGCCGCCTGGCCGAGAATGGGTTGCAGGACCCCCTGCTCAGCATGCGTGCGTTCAAGTCTTACGTCCTGCCGACGTTGTCATACGGGGCAGAGATCTGGGCGCCGCAGCTGATTCTGCAGGGCAGGACGGCATGCGAGCGGGTACAGCTGGAGTACCTGCGAGGGCTGCTGGGTGTGCGGGACAGCACCCCAGCCCTCATTGTGCTGGCAGAGACGGGGCAGCTGCCGCTGCCCGCCTACTGGACCTTGCAGGTTGCACGCTTTGTGAGCAACCTGCAGGCTATGGGCGGCGAGCGGGTCGCCCGTCTTGCCATGCTGGATAGCGTTGCGCTGGCTGCCGACACGGACACAGGGCTGCCACTGGCCCGGCAGCCCTGGGCAGCGCAGGTTAGCCGCGTTCTCGCGGCGGCCGGCGCCCCCTGCGACTTGACTGCTGACGAGGGGGTTGCCATACCTGAATTGGCGGAAGCGCTCCTGGAGCGCCATGTTGCCTAATCGGCGCCGCCCCCCTGAGCAACCACCCGCATGCAAATTTGGGGGTGTCTCTGGCCTTGCCTGCGTGCATAGCTGGATCCACGATTGCGTCGAAATCCTCAAGGCCACGCACAGCTTCACGGACGCAGATCCCTTCCGGATTTACGTCAGGGACCAGTGGGCCATCTGGCTCGGCAGCTGGGACACTTAGGGGCTGGCCTCCCCGCGGCATTGATGGGTATCCTCAGACCACCCTTCGTCGAGCTTCATGCCCACTCGGCACAAGCTAGAAAGAAGAAACATGTGAGTAAACCAGAGGTGTGTTGTCGTTTGGATGCCATGATCACGCAGTATACCAGACTGTTCACTGAGTATACCGAACTGTTCACTGAGCCCCTGCCCCCCACCGCTTTCTTCTCCAACCACCTGCCCGTGTCGCCGCCTTTGCCGCCGCCTGCCGCAGCCAATGGCAAGCCGCTTGACTGTAACACCGCAGACTGCCAACCCAGTGCCTGTCACCCGACCTGCTTTGCATGCTGCTGGGGCAAAAGCAGCAACCAAAGGTGTCTGATCATGCAGGCGTGGGCTGCTGCTGACGCCGCCGCGCGTCGAGCCCCCTCGTTAATCATTTCTACAATGACGAGACCTCCTTCCCTTGTGCGGGTGTGCACCCCTGCGACTCCTGCAATGCGGCAAGCCAGTCCTGACTGAAGTCAGACAGGCATCGTGCAGTCGACAGCTGCGATTGCTCCACAGAGCGGTTCTGAGGACCCAGAATGGCACCCCATTTCGTTGCTCCACTCCCACGGGCTGAATTGCCCTTCAGATGCACCAGACCTGCTGGCTCAAGGCAGCTGCTTGCTC